TTTCTAAAATCTGCCACCAGCAATTTTTTGTTGTTTTTCCTGGAAAGATTGCTGACGCTAGCAAAGAGCAAATGTAAAACTGATTTCTTCGACATTTTAGTCTTGTAGCCACAAATAGAAATTCATATGATGTGAATTTTCTGACCAGCCGAATTATTGTCTTTGTTTCAGGATTATGTGGATGTGGAGAGTCCGCAGAATTTGGCTAAAGATCGAGCAGAATATCATGAAGATAAAAGTCAGCGAGGGAGTGTCGCCTTGAAAGAAGAACATCACGTTTAAATAACATATATATCAAGGCTGTGTTAATACAAATGATTTAAATCAGGAACTGTTCAATTAATATGTTTTATGTGTGTTTCTTTGTGCATAAACATTTAAAATGCGGTTTGACAGAGGAGTGGAAAATAGATAGATAAATCATAGATTTTAATTTAGCCTTTCTATTGGATCTTATTTTACTGGATCTTATGTTTCTTTTTAAAACATGTATTATACTTGTCATCTTTTTTATTAAACATATCAAAGTATCTCCTTTTTTTACTGAACTCTAGCAACACAAAGGAGGACGTCTAATTTTAGGGGAATTTTACATTTTTGACAGAAATACATCGCGATTTTTGCATCGCTACTTATGAGGGGCACCTGAAGCCGTTGTGTATGGGGGAAGTTTTCTGCCATAATTTCGTCAAAGTTTCTCCCTATATCCAAGGAGAGAACTAAAACGTGCAGGATGCCGGCCCTCGAGGACCGATTTTGGGGACCACTACGCTAGAAGGAAACAGATGGACCAAGTAAAACACTTCCTTTCTATTGGCTAAGAGGTTTCCAGACAATAGTACTTTTTTGTTCCCATAGAGCAGAAAAGAATTCGTAAGCGAGCAAAGAGGTTTGCAAGCAGAGATTTGATCCGACAGACACGTTTTGAGCGCGAGGAGAAAGGTTTGAGTAAGGACAGTGAATATTTGAAAGAGATCAGAAGTTTTGCTCAAGCACTACAACTTTTGAGAAGAAAGAGATTAAGTCCTGCTTTCAAACTAATAATGAAGCACAAGTATTAAAAGTTTTGAGAACAAAAAACATGAAATCCTGCTGTCAGATCGAAAATGTGTGCTCTCGAATTTTGGTAGGAACATTCCCCAATAGCTGTAGTTACATTCTTGTGACAGGAAGGAGTGGTGCCTTCAGGAACGCCTACTCTCCCTGTGAGCCAATAGGATGGAGTCATGGAACATGCGTTTTTACGCAACAGCGCCATCGCGGATTTTGGACCCTAGTTCCAGTCTGTCCTTAGCGCCCATTCACACATAATGGCTGTTCGTGTGTTAGAAATAATCTTTTTCTTTTATTTTGCCTCCCACATTCCTATTACGTTATTTATTGACTTACAAGCCCTTCTACCTGAACATGTGTACCCCCAGCCGGTAAGTTCAGACCACAGCGTCTTGTTCATCTGTTTGCTCTGAGATGATTCACCCAGTTTTCCTCACCAGCTGAAGGATCTTCTGAAGTGGTATGCAGAGGATTTCAAAGACCCCATGGTGCTGGATCCTCCTGAGTGGTTCAAGTCGTTTATTTTCTGCGAGGCTTTTCTCCAAATGCCATTTTTCCCCATTGCAGCATATGCTTTTCTGAAAGGTGAGTAAACTTAAAAAAGAATGTGTGAAATCTGCAATACAACTGCTTAAGCAAACATGCAATACAACTGCTTAAGCAAACTCACAAAGTGAGGATATATCGTCTGATTTGCATCTCCTCATTAGGATTTGGAAATAATAAAAACCTAGTCAGTTCCAGGTTTGTAAAGTTAAGCTGTGGACACTGCATGACTTTTAAAGACCAGAAAGACCTCACTAACAGACTGCTATCATGGTTGAAAGGCCACACCATCAATATAAATTATTAGTTTTATTAGTAGTAGTATATATCAGTGGACCACATGTCTAATAACTGAACTTGCTGATCGACCACAGACCACAAGATTGATTGAACTGACTAAAGTCAGCTTAGTTTAGAAATACCTTTATTTCTAAACTTTTCTATCCCTTAGCAACATTCAGCAGCAAAGTGACAGGAAGCATACAGAGTAATGCAAAAATAGAATTAATAACAACAAACTGTTATTTTGCAGAGTTCTTCCACTGGGACCTCCAGGAGGTCACAGGGGGATGACAGGGTAAAAGATGATGCAAAGCAAAAATATGAAGCTTTATGGTGAACAACAATAATCATAAGCCCTGGTATTACATGTCATTACTTGTAAACAAAAACAGCAAAAACTTAGAAACAATGTGTGGAATGTTGACCACACAACCTAGGATTTAAGAGGGAGCATATCTGTTAGTCTTCAGGAAATTTGAAATGTTTCAAGGTCCGTTGGTAATTTTCCCAGAAGTAGATGTCCAAATAAGTTCACTGAAAGGTAAAGTTCTTAAAGAAACTGCAAAAATAAACCAATAAAATTGGACTTACAGAACCCCCTTATGTAAAAAAAAAAACCCTGACATAACAGAGAGCATCTTAAACTGTCAAGCAGAGTGGTGGAGGAGTTTGGGCTTGATTTTCTGCCACAGGACACAGTCACCCTGTAAGTCAAAGATTTCTAAAGTTAAATGTGAAATCTAGGCATCATGTGCTCATGAGCTGAAATACAACTACAGATAGGTGGGAATAAACAAGTGAGTGCAAGCTTGAACTAAAGAAGCTCTGGGTAGAAGAGAGGTTCCTCCACAATCCTGTGAAACCTTGATAAAAAGTATTTATTTGCTTCCGTTGTGTTTCCTTTTGATTCTCAGTAAAACATAATGTTTTGTTGATTTGATGTTTAAATTGTTTAGTTTTAACACCTGGTAAAGATCAGATTATGTTTAATGGCCTAATGATGTGGTGAGGGTGCACTTTCTTTTTACATAATCAGTGATGATGAAAGTATTTGCAGCCCTGAGAAAAAGAAGTCAGGATGTAAACTTGCAAATATGACTTTTGCACTGTGCATCATGTCCATGTTTTTATATCCTTAGTGGTTTAAATGTCAGTGAAATTCTGCAGCCAGATGCACCTTCTTCTGATCCTTCTCATCTTCCAGGTGGCTGTAAGTGGATCCGGACTCCTGCCATTGTGTACTCCACGCATGTTGCCACCACGCTGATTCCCATCCTAGCCCACATCCTTTTCCATCAGTTCCCTGTTAAACCCCACCCCGGTCCCCAGACTAACTGGGAGCGCTGGCTGCTGGTCTCCATATACGTGCCGTACCTGCTGGTCCCTGTGCTGCTGCTGCTCACAATGCTGCTCTCCTCCAAATACAACCCCACCTCCAAACCTGGCAGCACATCAGGCAAAGCTAAGAAGAAAAACTGAATTCAACACAAAACTTTGTAATTTACCTTTGGAATCGTCCCCCATCTGGGAATGCACTCTTTAAGATGCATTTATGTAAGAGCTCCTGTGAAACATGTTTTGAAGTATCATTGGAGAGGAATCTGCTTGATGAATGTTAAATTAGTTTGTTTTGCTTGTTGTGAGTTTTTAGCTCGACCATTTGACTAAGATTTTGGTCAATTGCCGTACTCTTTTGATTATCTCGATAATAAAAAGGATTATTGATCTTATTCAACTCAATTTTTTTTTCAGATTGTTATTCCTGTAAGGTTAGAATCAATAACCATAATTATACTGGTGTGATTTAAGTTAATTACAAATGATTCTGATAGTAGGAATGTTACACACATACAGTAGCTTAGGAATGATAAAGCATCTGGTGTTAACAGGTTGGTATATGGGCCTCCAAATGAAAATTTGCTTAGGGCCATAATGGCACTTCCGGTGTCAGCTGGCACAGCTACGGAAGCTGTGACAGCTGTCACAGGAGTTGTGGCATATGTCACAGAAAAGGCTATGGAATCACTCAATGTCCTTGATAAAATGTTGTGATAAGTACTTGTAGTTTTGTTTTTTTATTTGACTTTTTTTATCTGGTTACCGGTCGCTTCTTTTTACAGCCATTCTCTTTCATTGATACTCCTCAGTAGCTACAAGCTCCCTGCTCTGCTCATGGCTGTTCCACGTCAGTAATCATCTCCTGTTCTCCATTCTTTGGTCACCCTCCTCAATTTCTGTCAAATCCCTCTATGTTGGTCCTTTTTAAACATGACAAATGTTCAGTGTTTACAAGAGAGCTGTGAGAAATCTGCTAAAAAAATTACATCTATTCCAGAAATGGCAAACATAGACCATAAGACCATAACAGAATAAAACATGATTCCAATGTGTTAAATAGAAGGAGCCTTTGACTGGATAAAGGTGAGATTCACAAATGAACCGTTAGATCTGCTTAGTGGCATACATTTCAATCCAGCTGCAACTTGGGACCTTCTTGCTGCAAGGGAAACCAACTGTGCCACTGTGCAGCTTAACTGGTCTCTCTAAATTGTCCTCCGGTGTGTGTGCATGGTTGTTTTTTCCTGTCTTTGTGTTGCCCTGTGATGGACTGGCGACCTGTCCGGGGTGTACCCTGAAGATAGGCACGACCAGCCCTCATGCGACCTCGCAAGGCAAAGAGGACGGATGGACCGGTTCCATTTCCAGCCACTGGAGGGCGTCAATCTTGATATTCTTCTTTAGCGCTTCCTCATTGCTGTTGTTTAAAGAGACATTTCGGCTTTACGGCTTTATGTTGCATCACTGCAGAGACTGTCTCAGTTTAATCAGATTATCAATATTGCCCATGCTTCTTATTTTTGATCCAATTACTTTTATCTGATAATATATCTTCATACAAATTACTTGGTAGTCCTGCAATATAGCTATGTACTGTTTCACCACAGAAGAGCCAAAACATGTAGGTTTTCCACATAAACAGCAAAAAACACGTTATAGCATAAAGATAGAGACTGCACTTCTGATTTATCTTTTTGCCGACCTTAAGTTTATTCGTGTAACGGATTAGCTCTTGTGGCGGAAGGACATGCCGTTAGTTTGTGCGGCGGCAACAGCAGCTTATAAACGCTGAATATTGTTTAACTCAGTGGCACGTAGTAGTAATGTGGTCGTACTTGTGATATACCGGAGCGTTACAGTTTATATCAGTTTAGTGTGTTGTAATTGACATTAAAACATGTAATTGCAGGTGTCATTCGCTCCTAGTGGTTAATTTAAAGTAGTCGACGAAGATAAATAGTGACGTTCGAAGTTTCCCCACGGATGAAACGGGCGCTAGGCTGGGAAAACGGCAGTGTTTATCAGCATCGGAGAGACGTCTTCTGGATCTGTACGACTTGTGGAAGATGACCAGTAATTTGATCTGCCTTGTGTGGATGAACAGGAGCTCGGTGCTAACATTTTTAAGATTTTTAGGTTAACTGTTGAACGCAAACCTGCTCGCTAATGTTAGTTAGCTTAATGATCCCTTTTAATTTGCCTGTATTTTAGCAAAGCGGTGACCCACTGAGCTCATGTTATTGTTAGCATGTTTGCGCAGAGCTGCCATGGTATGCAGCCATGACGCTAGGTGTAGCCGCAGGGTTATGTCACGGTCAGGCTAACGCAGTGTTCTGCAGTTGATCCAGGCTTCGCAGAGTCATGTCTCCCCGGCTTCCCATCATGTAGACAATCCACCGGGACAAGTCAGGTGACCGGGCACAGAGCTAGTTAGTGAGCAGTCGTTCAATCGGGTCACAGACAAGCAGACAACTGGCACTGACACAGTTAAGCTAAGGATTGATGCTACCCATCAACGCCGTTTGATCGGTAGTGATACTACAAACGTTCCAGGCTTCTCGCGGGGCACTTGAATGCATCATCTCCGGCCTCCAGCTCCTTTTTTTTTTTTACCTTATGGGAACATCAGAGGAACCTGACATGAAATAACTGAAACTAAAACAACATCAGCTCGGAGCGGATCTGTCCCCCTCTGAAGAGGACAGCAGGGTTTTGAGGCATCTGAGTTGATCTACTTTCCCCCTTCACAATGGAGACTGTGGGAGATTTTGAGTACAGCAGGAAGGACTTGGTAGGACATGGAGCGTTCGCAGTGGTGTTCAAGGGAAGACACAGAAAGGTAATAGAAATGGCTCGTTTCAAATTGTGCGACTCTAAATATCCCTGCATAGAAAGGACAAGCACCAGTCCAATGATAAAATGTGGGTCAGTGAGTGGAGAACGGAGCTCTGCAGCAGTATGTAGGCTGCCGCCTCCTCAGGTTGTTGATTTATTGAACATTTTAACTAAAAATCGGAACCTACAGGCCCTTAGAAAGGATAGCAGCCACTCTTGTTGGTCCTCAATGTATTTTATTCACATTGTACATCTTGTAAACAGTTAATTATGTTACCTGGTTCATTCATGAAACGGATGAGTCAGGCAACTGTCAATGACTTGCTGACGTCCTGAGGTAGGAGTGGCTGTCTATTTAAGAATACAAGCCTTCCTTATAGAACAGCTGCATAGTGTTCATTCATGCTGCAGATCAGAAACCTATTAGATTATAAAATAATGCTCAGAAAATTGAATTATGTCCTTAAATCTGACCATGCTGTGAGGAAATCTGGGCTCATGGGTTTGTTTGTTCCGAGAAGAACAAACAAACCCATGAAGAGCAAATGGAAGCACACTGTTCACTCCAGCTCTTGTAAAACGCACTTTAGTTCACTAAATAGAAATCTATAAAGTAGCTCTGCAGAGCCACTTAACAAAGCAAGACTAATGGCTGCATGGATGCAAGCTTACGTTTGTCCAACTGTGCAGCTAACATGTTAAACAGGAGGAATGGCATCAATGTAATAACTAGATAAGTTGCAGTTTTCTGGCTGATCAGCAATTACAGATTACCAATCTTTAAGAATTCTGACGTTCTGATTTAGGCCAATACCATTTTTGTGTGTATTCATTTTTATGCTGCTAAATATTGCAAGAAAGTTGCTGAGTTGGCAACAGTGGGGTGATTATTGTTAACTGTGAATGTGCAGCTCTCTCACAGCAGAGCAAAAGAACACAGACCTTTGCTGAGGTAGATGAGATCAGTTACGAACAGCATCACATGTAAGAATCGGCCAATCATTGATCTTCCAAAATTAAGGAAATTCGGCGATAAATTTGCCTGGCCGATAAATTGGTTCACACCTAGTAATAATATCTGAATGTATTTCAACCACAGTCTATAGAGCATTAATGTTTTCACCTTCCCTATTATTTATTTATTCCCAAAAGAGAAGCAAACCTAAAAAGGGATTGCAGCTCAAGAGCAAGACACAAAACTAGCTCAACTCAAGATTTCAGATCTGGAAACTGAAATCCAAATAGAATGGTTACTTCTGTGCACAGTGGCACAGTTTTTGGCATGATTGCTTTGCAGAATGAAGGCCTTGGGTTTGAATTCCTAGATGAGTCTTTCTGCATTGTTTGCATGTTCACCCTATTCATACAAAGGTTCTGTTTGGTTCATCTGGTTTCTTCCCATTGTCCAAAATATGTACAATGAAGAAAATAAGTATTTGAAAACCCTTTGTCTTTGCAAGTTCTCCAACTTAGAAATCATGGAGGGGTCTGAAATTTTCATCTTAGGTGCATGTCCTAAGAAAGATCTAAAAAACAAAAAACATCCGGAAATCACAATGTATGATGTTTTTAATAATTGATTTGTGTTTTACTGCTTCAAATGAGTATTTGAACACCTCCCAATCAGCAAAAATTCTGGCCCTCAAAGACCTGTTAGTTTGCCTCTAAAAAGTCCACCTCCACTTATTATTCTAAATTAGAAGCACCTGTTTGAGGTCCTTAGCAGCATAAAGACTCCTGTTCACCCCACGCAATCAGTCCAAAGACACCAGAGACAAAATTGTAGACCACCACAAGGCCGGTAAGGGCTTATGGGCCAATTGCCAAGCAGGTTGGTGAAAAAAGATCAACTGTTGGAACAATTATTAGAAAATAGAAGAAGCTAAACATGACTGTCAATCATGTTGAACCTGCCATGCCATGCATGATTTTAAACCATGACATCTTGGTGTATTATCCACAGTAACCTTGGAAACAGTGATGCCAGATCTCTTCAGGTCATTGACCAGCTCCTCCTGTGTAGTTCTGGGCTGATTTCTCACCTCAGAGCTTTGAATATGGTGTCGTGGCTGGATCTTCCAACACGACAATGACCCGAAAGCACACAGCCAGGATAATCAAGGAGTGGCTCCGTAAGAAGCATGGAATGGCCCAGGAAGTCTTCAGAGCTAAGCCCTATAGAAAAATTTTGAAGGGAGCTCAAATCTGTCTGTCAGAGACAGCCCTTAATTGCAAAGAGGCTACTGTTCTGAATATTAAATTGATTTTCACAGTTCAAATACTTATTTGCAGCAGTAACACACAAATAAATTATTTAAAAAAATCATACATTGTGATTTCTGGATGTTCTTTAGATTATGTCTCTCATGGTGGACATGCACCTAAGATAAACATTTAGACCCTCCATGATTTCTAAGTGGGAGAACTTGCAAAGCTGCAGGGTGTTCAAATACTTTTCTTCACTGCATATATGTTAATTGGCCTCCTTACATTCAGGTGTGAATGTTTGCATGTTTTGATAAATGTTGAATTGGTAATTGCTCTTTGACAAAGTAAAAGACAGGGTAAGCTGAGCAACAAGGAGTTTCTGTTTATTAAAAAAAAAAAAATTAGTTCATGCAAAAAAGCTCCAAAATGTAAATGAATGTGCATTTCAGTTCTTGGAAAAATGTGATAAAACTTGGTGTTATTATGAAATGATTGTATGCTCCATATTTTTCCCTGATTAAGAGGATAAAATGGAGTAGTGTTTATTCTTAAATGTATTATTATCACAATAGCACCATAATATATAGTTATGCATTTTAAGTCCATTTGGTCCCCACCCCTCTGATGGGATGTTAGGTTCCTCTCACCCAAATGGTTAAAAAAAAAAAAAAAAAAACACCCAAAAATAAACATCCTGCAGATGTTTATTTTTGCAGGTTGGTTGTCCTGTTGGTTGTCGCTGTTCTCTGCTGTGTCTCCCAGCTGCTTATTGATGCCCATCCCACTGTTGCTCATACTACAATCAGCTGTGATTAATAAATGAGATTGTTATTATGGAAATTGAGAGCTGGCTTCTGTTTTTAAAGGATAACTCTGCAGGTCATAATAACTTTGTGTGTTCTGTTTAACTCATGGATGGAAAGTATATTGAGTGGTCCATCATGTTGAAACATGATGGACCACTCAATCAACCCCCTCCAACTCTCTGGCCCACCTCGTATTGATGTATTGGTGGCCCAGTCACACCTGGGTGGACATGATACAGCTCACCTGACTCACTCACTCACTCACTCACTCACTCACTCACCCATCCAGGGTCCTTTGCCTTCCTCTAGGCTGACAGAATCAGACCATCTCTTAGTAATTCTTAATTTAGATTTTTTTTAAAAGAGATTTTCTTTTTGTTTGTGTTCCACCTCTATATACTGATGCTGAGTTCACAATCCTGTGGGCCTGGAGGTTACATAGGTGGTTGTGGTCTTTGAACTCATGTGAGCTCGAGGAATCTTTATTTTTAAAGTTGGTCTCAGACATTGGATCTTATTTTGGGGGTTAGGTTAGCTCTGTTCCAGAATAGGTAGGCTTACACTGGTTCTGTTGTTACCTCACCATTCAGTGTGTCACATTACAGCCATACCAACAAGGCTCTGTGAACCATGGGATGCGGCTTCTCTTCCCCTTGTACACATCATATATGTGATGAACTGGTTTAAAACATTGTATGTCCAAATGGACAAAAATAGACCACACTTTAAGTTCACTAATGATGTTTTTAAGAACTCCTAAAATCAGACAAAAACAGCAGCCAGGAAGTAGAGCAATAACAGGCATTCTTATAATGGTGATTGGTCATTGATCAGAAGGCAAGATGACTGAAACTGAAGACAGAAATATGTTATTTGGGGATGGATGAAGAGTGTCAGATGTTATAGACACATCATGATGATAACTTACTCTAACCTATATTCTTCTCTGTCCTGTAAAGAAAACAGAGTGGGAAGTCGCCATTAAGAGCATCAATAAGAAGAACCTCTCAAAGTCCCAGATCCTGCTTGGCAAGGAGATCAAAATCCTGAAGGTGAGCAGAATGATTCAATGCTTCTCACTCCCAGAAAGAATGATCTGAAACCTGAGTGTGTCATCTCAGGCTTGGAGGAGCTATTCATTGCACTAACTTATATTATCCATAGCATATTAATGCTGCCATTAATATATCATGATGATCTGTTCTTTTTACTCAGGAACTGCAACATGAAAACATTGTGGCTCTTTATGATGTTCAAGTAAGTGAAAAAAGCAGTGTGGACTTGGAGGCTATGTCTGAATGTTGTGTCCATTTTAAATTGACCGGTATAATCAATCAATCAATCAATCAATAAATCAATCAATCAATCAATCAATCAATCAATCAATCAATCACATTTTATTTGTATAGCACATTTCAGCAGCAAGGCATTTCAAAGTGCTTTACATAATTAAAATAAAAACAGCATGTGAGAAAGAGTTAAAAAAAAAAACATCATTAAAACGCAAACAGTGAGAAAGAGAAATAAAAAGCTGTCTCCAACCCTTTTGACTTTAGTCAAACGCCGTTTGACAAGGACTTTAACCTCTCTGACTTTAGTCAAAACGTCGTTAAGTTAAGTAATGATCTTAGATTTCCTGTTTCATAGTTGTCATTTTGTCTTATTTAGAGATGCAACAATCAGAGTCTGACTGATTTCCATGTGACCTAGTCATTCTAGGTGACTCAGACTCTACAAACTACAGTATAAGAAAACATCAGATCACATTGATTGTATTGGGAGTAGAGACAAGGTTACACAGTGTTTTTGAGGGAAGAGTTTCTCTAAGAAATCTTTTGACTATTTTAATTTGAGTCCAATGTGTCCAGATAAACACAGCCCACATACTTCATGTATTCTAGTAATTCATGCCATACTTGTTGTTTCTACAAGATCAAAAGCATCTCTCTCTGAATCTGCTCTATAATCTGATAGATTAACTTTGGCTTTTATTTCTTAACTGCACTCATGGCACACCACAATTTTTTAAAGAATAGTCCCTTTTAAAGAAATTTTAATGCATTATGTTCTTAAATTCAGCTCATAGCTGGACTGAAAATGGTGGAGTTTGCATGGAGTCCTGGTTAACCTACCAGAGGGGGGACAAACAAGAAGTCAGTTGCCAAACATCACAAGAAAATGATCCCTTGTAATAATTCTTGTCTTTCAGAATGTTCTGAAATTTGAAGTGGTTTTTGGCCTGCTGTAAAATATTTCTGTTCAAACAGAATCAGTTTTTCCTACATGTTTGTGCTCCTCTGGCAAATACTTTCAAAGCCTTTGAGCATTTGTGTTGTCCCTGTGTTTACATTGCCACTGCTGCTGGCATTCTGCTTATAAGCCCATCTATCTATATTTACATCAGCTCTGCTGATGTCATAGCTTCATCCAGAGCCAGATTGCAATGTGCCCATTTAAAACCCAGCTTCTGTTAGTAAGTAGGCTTTGAAAGGTAATGCTTGTAATTTTGATTTGAAGTGCTTGATAGAATGAAATGAGAACTCTATTCCATCTGGTGCATAAAGTATTAAACTATTCATAAATCGTGCACATTTCCGAGCTACCAGCTGTATTCCTGGTTGAAAAGGCCTCATCAGGATCACATGGTGTTCTCATGGTATGCTCACAGCACTCGACTTGTGACAGATACTGGAACAGATCAGATGTTATTATTCTTTTAAACATTAGGATTGTTTTAGGCCACTCTACTTTTTTGTTTTTACACCTTGTCTAGAGGTGCTATTCTTCTCGGTTTGGCAACCAGAGCTTAACAAGCCAGTCTGTTTAAACTGTACCGTAACATGCAGTCACACTATGGTAAAGGTATTTTTGTCCTACTTGTAGTCATAAACATGAAGTCATGTAGTGGATTTCTCTGCTGAGGTTGGGGTATACAGGTCAAATGTCAATTTGGCTTCATAAAACTGTTTTGGAATTTTGGAATATTATTTAACCATTTGACCTGAGCTCAGTTTCTTAATCCAGGTATCATTTTTTTCTGTTAAAAACTTAAAATGATACCTTAATCTATGTAAGCAAAATGTTTCTTCAAACAAGAAGATAAATGATGCAAAGTAAATATCAAAATCACTAGTGGACCTTGGTTCTAACATTGTGACTCAGTCATGTGATGCAGAGATGTTTTGGTTTGATCTAAGAGTGTTTTGGCTCACTCTGGGCTTGCTTAGTTATGCAGCAACAGAAGCAGCTACTGTAAAAATATATTGAAAGTGAGATGTGGGGTTGCTGGTATGTAGGATTACAGATTGCAAGAAAACACGTAAATCAGGATTTGCAAAATAGTTGCTAAGAATTTTAACTCAAACATCATATATTTCACACCTCTACTGTAGTGTTTAACAGGAAGCTTGATAAAAGTTAAAATTATTTTAGGTCTGATTGTTTGTGCTTGTAATCTAGAGTTTATATTCCATCCATGAACTACTTGGCTGTGTTGGGGTTTGGTATGATAGCTTTGGCTTCAGCACTAGGACAGGATTAACACAGTGGTTTACTTCCTATCAAGCAGTCATAGCATGCTTAAACATCTCACCTGCCTCACACAGATTAACACACATAAATGCGCCACTGTAAAAAAGACTGAAGAGAGCTTGCTATGCTGAATGAGGGAGGACATTTTATCTGAATAGACTTGAATCTGAATTTCTCAGATGCAGCTTGATCTAAAAATTGTTAAACATGAAAGAATTTTAATGGTTAACAATGTCTTTATAAATCAATAGTCTGACTGACTATTTGCTGTTTATATTATATTTATTAGGAGCCAAACAATTTTTTTCTTTTTATTCAAACTGAGGATAAAAGTAGTATTTCACATCAAGTGTGGGTGCATGGATTGCAGTTTTCTGGCCAGTTACCAATATTAAAAGCCTGCCTGCCAATTCTGATTTTGGCTGATCCTGAGTTTTTTTTTTGTTTGTTGTTTTTTTTCCCCTTGTCTGAAATGTTGATAAATATAGCAAGAAAGTCACTGAGTTTGCAACAGTGGGGTGACTATTAACAGCTGCTGTGCAGCCGCCACCTTATGGGCAGGTCTGTCAGACTCTCTCATGGCAGAGAAAAAGAGGATGGTGATTGATTCTTAGACCCTTGCTGAGGTTAAGATCAGTGGATAAGATCAGCTTCACATGCAAGTATTGACTGATCGCAGACCTGTTATGTAATAGAGTATGTAATAGATTTCTGTTTCTTTTGAGGTTTTTCACCTAAATGACAACAGTGACCATCCATGCATATTTAAAGATGGAACAACTAAAATTAAGGCTCTTCATTGTTATTTCTATGAAATCCAAGCTCATAGAAATAACATGGGTTTGTTTGTTGTTAGCGGTAGCGTCGTTATCATAGACTAATTACTTAAAATAGCACTACTCACTTGGCAGAAACAAGTCGACAGCCATTTAATGCTTCTTTTGATCCTAAATGCTTGACCCAACTTGAAACTAAATGATTGTATTCTCCAGGCATTTGAAAGCTTTCTTCTGGCTCGTGGCATAATATGAGGTCTGCAGCTCCAGTTAGTTACGTCAATCGCCTTGATGCTGGGTAAAATCTCAAGATTATAAGAGAAGTCCTTTTTTTGCCGAGATAATACAGATCATATCCTAAAGATACGCATATTTTTTCGAGATACCTTGGCTGTTCCAGCCCATTTATGACATTAGCTTACTCGTTGTGACCAATTTTGCTTTGTTTTGAACCGGAGAAATCCCCTTCCGGACCTCCATCTGAATTTAGCGTGTCATCCGGGTCACGTGACTGAAACCCAGCAATAGCCATGTGATCAGTATCGGTAGAAAATGCGTCTGATAGAATGTTGATCTGAACTCTGATCCAGAACTGCACAGTATTCTGGGGGATGTAAGCAGAGGAAAGGCTTTAGTTGCTCAAACTCTCATGGCCAACTAAGCTAGGTGGGTGCCATCAACAACTCGCTCACTTTTTGGTTGCCTAACAACAACTTCGGTAACTTGTATGGCAGCAGTTTCAGGTTTTGCCACTTTGCCTCATAACTGCTTAAAAATAAAAGCACTAGTGACGCAAACTGTAAGGAGGAAATGAGTACAACAGCTCGAGGAATCTGGATAAGACAGGAAAGGTCTTATCCATTTGGCAGCATTTCAGATCTTTAAAACAAAAAACTATCATCACATTTTTATCCATGTGGCCCATCTCTACGCTAGCTGGAGAAATGGCTCATGGTCTTTTGCCAAAGACGAAAGAGAAATCCTACAACCACTAAAATATGCCATTCTATTTTTGTTTCCATTTTGTGAAGAAGGAAGTTGCACTCAGTGTTGTCTTCAGTGGCGCTCAGCGCAACCATGGGGGCGAGAAGAGGCTTTTAAGAGGGTTTGGTTGGTTTGATACAGTGCAATGTGAAAGAGAACCACAGCAGCTGGAAATGAAATAAATTTCGCAGTTTTCGTCCCAAAATGCACGTAATCTCCCAGACTATCAGGTGTGAAAACATTTTGAAAGTCATTGCTGTATTACATCCAGTGTTTATGACAGGGCCGTGCAGAGACCACTAAAAGGGCAGGTGCTCAAAAAAAAAAAAAAAAAAGGGCACAT